AAAAAAAAAAGCTAAAAAAATGCATTCAAAAAATTTTTGAAAATTTCATATTAAAGTATTTAAAATTTCCAGCTTCAGCGACAATAAGTAAAATTTATATCCCAATTTTTTCTTAGATCTCGTGACATTGCAAATTGTGATCAAGCTTTCTTGACTGCTTATGATTAACAACATATACTGCATTACATTAACTTCATTTACTTAATATGTACTATGTTATTATGTTTGTGCCCTAAACTTTCGTTTTTATTAATTTTGTCTTTCTTCCCGAAAATATTACATTATTCTATCTTACAAAAAAAAAAAGAAAAAAAAAAAGGCAGCATGCCATTGTACAGAGAGAATATCTAAATTCCGATTTCTTTGAGGTATAGTCAAACTTGTTTACTCTTATATATATAATGTATGCAGTAAGTTTTCTCACATAAGATCCCTAATATCTAAATCGACCAAATCACAAATATGTAAATTCGTAACTTTTATATCTTAATTATCATCGAAATCTACTTTATTAAGACCGTCCAAGTATACTTTTAATATATCATCAGCAGTTGGTTTTAAAGCACGGCTGTTTGTGCGTTCAATGTGTCTCTGTGGGAAATATCTGGTGATAATGTGAGCAAGACCGTAGTTTCGATATTTTCCTCTACCACCTAAACATGCGTAGTAGGTAGTATATAGAACAGCTGCGAGAATAATAAACATGGTAAATACGGAAATGGGTTGAAGGAATGGTTGTTCGCGAGTTGTAGGCACTTCAAAACTTCCTAAAATAGTGGTTGAATGTAAATAAAACTAAAAATAACCAATTTGTTTTTATATGTACTATATTTTACCTGGTTTAAGATGAATAAGACCAATTGCACTATTATTTGTTCCAAAAGCATTAGATGCTACTCCTATTTCAGATCGGAAATCCACTTGCCATTTCATGGTTCCATTTAAAAACACATGTCTCTTCCAGAAAAATGTGAATGCTCGTTCACGGTTTGCATCAAACTGTGTTAAGCTATAAGGACTTAATATTTGTGGTGTCTTGAGTGAGGAAAGTACACTGGCTGAAGCTTCCTTGTCTGGCAAATCGAATGGATTCCATATCATAAATTGCATCTTGGAAATTGTCGATGCATTGAAAAATGAATATTGAATGAACATAGCGGATTGGAAGGCGGTCCAATTTTTTGGTGGTACTGCTGGTTTGGCAAGAAAAAGTGGTGTAGTTGTTTGAAAAATATAGCATCCAGTAAACCATCCATTATATAAATTATCACCAGTAACATTCACATATTTGATTAAATTGGGGCAATTTCTCGAGGTATTGCCATAAATTGTACAGTTAAAATTGTATTGCACGTTGTCTGTGCATAAAGAAAAAGCTGGTGGTGGAAGACTATCGACATTTTCAAAAGATACCGTTGTATAAGTAAGGTTTGATCTACCTATATCGACTACTGTATTCGCAATAAGATATATTATGAGAATAATTGCAAAAAAAACTTGAAGAATAGTTGTTAGGAGCCTTCGGCAATTCTTTCCTGCTTTCATTATTATTTAAGAATTATATAAGAAATCGGATTTAATTAAGAATATGTATTTAAAAAAACTTTAGTAACTAAACAAAGGAGATTCCAGCTCTCTCTGTATTAACGGGTTAAAGAAAGACAAGAAATAAAAACTAGAGCTTTTTCAGAAAAATGGGACGATGAAATCCATTTTGTTACTAATAAAAAAAACCCTGATTTTATATTGTATCTCATGAAATGGATATTTCCATAATAGTTCCACAAAGGTTTTATATCGATTGTAGTCAGTAACATCACATTGGATCGAACTTTCAATGCATCATCCTTTACAAACGAGTACAATTTTTAAAGAACAAAGGTAATTTAACTACATACTTATTAATCCCAAATATAGCAAATTATTGTATAACGATAATCTTTAAAATTGTTCTACATTAAGGCATCTTTCCTTTTTTGAAGTGGAGGTAAATCAATACGTAGATAAGTTTTGACATTTTGGACAAGTAACATATTAATCATATGGTTTAACATACAATTTGATTGGACAATCATAAAAACGAAAATTACTGTATTAATTTTCGTAATACAGCACGGGATAGCAAGTCCTAACGACTTTTAAATAGCATTATAAAAATTAAAGAATTTATCTTCGTTACTTCAAAGATTTGTATCTCCGATACTTTTATAGTATTTCGTAGAATGATTTATTTTTAATATTTTGCTTACGTGAAGCTCGAACATTTATTCGAAAAAAAAATATTATCGTTATTTTTATTAGTCATTATTCTCTAAAAGTTAAAAAAATACATAATACTTTTGTCGTCCTACGTTTTTGCATGATCAGAATCACTTCTAATATAAAAGTTGGTGGAACAAGCACAGGTTTTTTTCGTAGTTTTACCGGCTGCCCTTGCGTCGAAAATGCGTCAGGAGTACGTCGAGCGTAGCCCGGGTTTACATGAGGAGAGTATCTTCCTGCGTTGCGAACATGAAGTAAAATTTCCAATTATATAATATAATTGGAAATTTTACTTCATGTTCGCAACGCAGGAAGATACTCTCCTCATGTAAACCCGGGTTACGCTCGACGTACTCCTGACGCATTTTCGACGCAAGGGCAGTCGGTAAAACTACGAAAAAAACCTGTGCTGGTGGAACTCTGTCATTTTCCTCTTTTTTTGCTTTTAACAATTTTAAGCAACTTGATCTAACTGAAACGTTTATATGAAAGTTAAGGTTCGAAACATCACCTGACAAAATTTCAGATGGCTTATATTACAATAATTTGAATAGATTAGCCGCGCAACCAAAATTTAGCGGATCGACCAAAATCCAGGGTCGGAATAGGCCGAAATTATTAAATTCTCCCAAAATCAACAGAAGCGACCATCCCATCAATTTGAAGATCGGTTACACGATTAATAAAAAAATTTTTTAGACGTTTTACAATACTTTTTTAGAAAGCTCGCGTAACTTATTTCTGTTATGAAACGTGGTCAAGTTTATTAAACACACTTGAAGCTTTTGTACTATAGTCAAATCTCTACAGCCACGCCCTTGATTTCAAGAAATCTTGTGCTTATAAGAAATTATGCTTGTATAGAGATCAAACTATATGAAGAGCACAGTATATTTTAATAATTTTAGTTAAATCTTTTTAAATTCTACAACTTTTCTATTAAGTTTTACTACAAGAAAATATTTTAAAAAATAAATAATTTTGTTGAATTAGTGGTAAGTTTATTTGTTATACTACAGTAATAATTATATGTTAATACTTTACATATAGGTTTACTTTACAGTGATAATCACATGTCAATACTTATATATATATATATTTTTTTCATATTTTGTAATTAATCTTTGGAGAATACATAAGACTATTATTCTTTTAAAAACAAAGCTAGCTTTTAATATTTACAAAGATTATTTTAATATTTTTTTTAAGTATAAGTTATATATTATTTGAATGTTAGCATTCTAAATTTCAAGAGTATTATACTGTATATAGATCAAATTATAGTTTAGTATATTTATTAATAGATAAATTTAAATTATACTTGAATCATAATGAAGATAACAATTCTTATAGACAAAATAATCTTGAATAATACTTAAAATAATAAATAATTTTTATAGACAAAATAATCTTAAATAGTGCTTGAATTCTGCTAATAGTAATAATTTAAATAAATATAATAATCTTGAATTATGCTTTAACAATAAAAAGTGGTCTGCTTAATATTTTTATCAGGTTTTAAATTCTCTTCATAACCAAAGTTTTATACAACTACTACAGATAAATAATATACTAAATTATGATATTATTTAAATTTATATTCAAGTAATATTTTATTAATTATATTTAAAGATTTTATATTCTTTTTATAACTAACATTTTATTTTAACAATATTGCAAGTTAATGATATTTTAAAAAATGAGATAATTTATTTATCACCCAAGTGAATTTTTTATCTACTTTTTAAAAAACAGTTTTTTGATACTCTAGGGTTAGAGAATATATGGGGTCTTTCACATTAAAAGGGCCCATTTTGCAAATTTTTTGAAAAATAAGTTTTTATTAGATTCATATAAATTTTAACATGAGTGACATTTTTCAATTATAAATGAAAAGCAATTTGCATAATAAAAAATAGAGATAATTTAAAAAAAAAATTGTATGAAGCTGTCTAAGGTCAAGCACAGCACGAGATTACCCGATAGTCACCTGTTACGTTTGACCAATCAAAATCATAAAATTTGCTTAATCCCAGATCAGTCCGAAAATCAAAACAAATGATTAAACTCAATTATCTCAAAATTGTTTATATTG